AAATAGTTTAAGATATAACACCACATTCTGAATTATTAAATAGCTAAAAATAGATTGAATAATCATTTTTAATTTTTTTTTTTATATAGTTTGAAATGTAACTAGATTAATAATAACACAAATGGTACACATATTATAATATAGGAAGTTAATATTGACAACTATTTGAAAGATTAAAAAGATATTAAGATTAAGTATATATATTTATTTAGTAAAATCTTTAAAAAACTAAGCTTACAAAGTGCAATAATAATTTACCCATTCATTTTCCATTACAAATGCTTCAACGGCTTCTTTTAAAGCTAAGTTTGGAATGAGTTGATCAACAGTTAAATGCTGACGTGAAACGGGATCGAAATGACCAACTTTCTGGTGATAATAAAATTGAAAATATTGTTACTTATTAGTTGATTAAATATAATATAATATTTATGTTGCATCCAATTCATAAAAATTATCCATAGTTGTAAAAAATACACATTTTCATAATATAAGTGGATGATAATTTGGATCAATTTCACAAAATCAATAGAAATTTTCTACACTTTACAAAAAAATGGAAATCCACATTGTTTTACAACTAATGAAGCTAAAAGTGACCAACTGAGCATAAACTTGGTATATTGTTACACACTTATAAGATGGAGACAAAGAATACCAGTGTTATGTTCTCTAAAATGTACAAAATGAATATTCTGTTTAGGGAAATGGGTAAAAATTATAATCCATATTGTGTAAAAATAAATTATTCGTGAAAAAAAATCCGTAAAGTGGATGTGAAATGTATACATATTTAACAGGTCATATTTTTTAAATAATATCTTAAATCATAAAGTAGCAAAATTGAAAAGATAATATTTCGTTACCTTATCAGATCCATAAACTAAATAATTAATCACGCACTATCAAAATGAGAGTAGGCATTTATAAAAAAGTTTTCTATAAAATGTTCTATATCATTATTATGAATTAAGTTATTAAAATATTTTAATTTACCATTAAGTGTTCTTCKAGATCCTTGCGATCATAAGTTATGCCACTTGGAGTAATAACAGGATCTCGTAAAATATCATAACTTATGTTCCCACACAAATAGTCTGGTACTTCACGTTTCTAATAAAAAAAATATTTRATTCAAAGAAATTATATTATATTATGTTTAATTTATATAAACTACTATATTACCTTCCGTCTGTCGTCATTCTTAGAAAATATGGTATGTAGTTCAGCAGCATATTTCTCCTAAAAATAAAAATGCAGTATAATACATATAAGCAATTTATTTATAAGACCAACTTACACTTTGGTTTTTAATTTCCATAACATCATTATCGTAATCTTCAATTTCATTTTCATTATCAGATGGTTTTTTAATTTCACTGACTTTACGAGCCATATCTTCATTCATAAGTCTTGTCAGGTATGACTAATTTAATTAAATACAATTAATTTATGTTAAATAATACATTTAAAAGACGATTTTATTTACCAGAAGTTCTATTTCTTGATTCTGTCTCACTTCTTCTTGTTTCTCCCATTTTAGTCTACGAGCTCTTCTAAGTTGGCTTGTAATGTCATCACCATAGTTAACTTTTTTTTCTTTTGTTAAATTATGTGCTAAAAAAATAGTGTACAAGTTATTAAAATTAATACCTAATATTATAATTTGAAGAAATTAACATATAACTTTTTTACCTCTTTGTAATTGTTTTATGGCTTCATCATAGCTTCCTAACTCAATAAGTGCAATACCCAAAAAAAAACAACCTTTTATAAAACTGAAGTCCATTTCCAAAGCACGTCGACAATCTGTACATGCCTTGTCCCATTGTTTTAATTTCAAGAAACATAAAGCTCTATTGGTAAAGTATATAGGAATAACAGGGTTTTTTATCTGTAAGGGGAAAATATGTAATTAGTATACAATCAATATTAATCAATACAACAACAATTTCAAAGTATTGATTTTACTTACAATTGCTTTATTGTAGCATTCAATAGCCTTTTCATATTGTTTGTAACTGAATAAGCGATTACCTTCTTCTTTAAGATCCTTATCAGTTTGGATGTTAGTAGTATGTTTATTAGACATACTAAATTTAAACATTTTAGAAATGAAACTACAATAACATCTGAAAATAATTTTAGTTATTCCTTATTATTACATAATTTAAGTTTAAGCATAAAGTAGCTAATAAATCATAATAATTTTTATCATAATATGTGGACATAGAAACAATAAGTATCGACCTAATATCACAAACTAACCAACTGGAATTAAAAATGTACAGAATCATGGGTTACTTACGTGATGTTTAAACAATAAGTAGGCTTCAGTGATGATTTATAGATGGTATAATTTGGTTATATAACGTCATAAGACTAAAATCATTGTGCAAACAAAAATTATAATTTCATTAAACCAAGTAAAAATGATTGCTAGACATTAATTACAATGTAATTTATAACTCATACTACTCATAGGTTCCATAATCCATGAAATAGAATTGTATAATAATATTCTTATCTATTATCCACTTGCACCCATAATAAAAGCACGGATTATATGAAAAAGGAATAAGAAGTATGCTAATTGATAAGCCCGCGGTTGTTATTTCAAGAGGCAAATGTACAATAATTTATATAGGTAATACGGTAATACCTTTGACCTAATAGGTTCTGTGGTAATACGCAACCAACAATGAACTTAATGTGACGTCACACGTACAATGTAATGTGGGATGACAGAAGAACACAAGGTAATATCACAGAATAATATCARGCCTACGAAATTTCGTGATTGGCCCAATCGGACAATTGTGGCCTGAAAGTTGGTACCACAGTCCACAGATATGTGGAATAATTACTACAAAAAAACTTGATGGGATGCTGACAGCAACTACTGAGCCTCCCCTGGCCCCTGATTTATTATGTAATTACTAATTAATTTCACAWAATTGTTTTGTCCATAATAACATTAATAACGGAGACTTCAATATTTATAATATAAATCCCGTCATTACTAAAAAAATTCCGCTCTTAACGCCACTGACGATTATAGATACAATATTATATCTTATTTTTCTATGGCTAGCACACTTCTGTCCTGATATGATAAGGTAGAGTAGGATTATGCTTCACGACTTTCACGTTAAAATGACTCGTTTGATATCCTTGAACCTTGATTCCTCATTCCTCATTTCCGTAGTCAGCAATTCGGCTAATTTCGGCATAAACCTGAAACCATCATACATTCATACGCCATACGGCATACTATCTCAATTTGTGGTCTGTGCCATGTGGCTACTGGCTTGGATCATAATATAGTTATATTATTCTGTGATAGTAGTAATGAGTAATATTAGTATATTATAGCTACTTAAACATTTAATAGTTCAGTATTTATGATTTAAGATGTTAAGCTCGCTAAGTCACAAACAATTTAACGCTTTAAATTCAAATTTTGCTCAATCTTTATTATATTAAAAACCACTAAAAAATAAATTATATTTAACTATCAAATTGTGGTATGCAGTACCAGTACATGTTGGTTACAAACTACTATTTACATTACAATGGATGCTGACAAGTAAATCAAAACCCAAAGTACCTAAATGTAGTTTACCGAAATCATTTAAAATTCCAAACATTTTATGTCCCTGTACACCCCATAACATCATTCAGTTTTTTRCCATGGTAATCCCAGTATCTCGCAACAAATTTACTTATTATTTTTTATTTTACTGATTGTAAAATGTTCTTACTTATTTATTTTTAATAAATAAAACACTTTATTGATGATCTATATTAATTTATAATTAATTCCTTATTGCTTTTTTATTTCAATAGGATATTTATAGGTTCACCACACAAACTGATCAGTGAGAGCAGCTTAAAGTGTAACGTAGAAGATGTCAATCAACTACTGTCCATCAAAAAACATTTATTAGAACAGCCACGTATTGAAAAATGGTACCTTTGAACAAAATTTAAATACATTAGTGTTAATTATCCCAATTTCTTGGGAATAAGGAGACGAGAATAATCAAAGAATTATTTAAAAAAATTATAATATTATTCTTCAGTTAATATTGATCTTATATTATAATTTTTTTTCATTCTAGTTGTATCATGATCAAAAACAATTCTTTAAATTTCACTACAGTTCTATAGAATTACATGATAACATTTTTTCTCTTAGTAAAATTTAGTTAAAATTTTTTTTATAATTTCATTGTTGCTTTAAGAGAATGATAGCATTTTTTATCTCTCTAGCCTACAGGTTACAGCAGAATTTTAGTGATAATTATGTTAATAATCATTATTGTGAACCATAAAATCAAGTATGTATTGTAAGTCAGAGAGTACAAATATATGCTGACATCTTAATATTTAATTTTTCACTATATTGAAAAATTTTATATCTAAATATTTATAATAATTATATTTTAAATTTATAATTATCATGTATTTATGATATACCTACATAATACATCGATGATACATACAATATACAAAAGAGGTGTCAGGTAAAATTATCATATTCCACTAGATTCATACCAGAACACTAATGAACTTTGTACATTATTTTATGCCAAATTGTATTGATGTGAAAAATTATCTATCCCTATTTTTGTGTTAATATTTTATACTATTTATAGTGCATCTTTAGCTGAAGCTGAATGGAATGACGATTTAAAATTAGCAAAACTAACAAAAATTACAAAAAATCTTACCAAAAATTTTTCACATTCATTGAATAAGTCATTGTATTTATACCCAGAAGAATGCTTATGCTTGTTAGAAATGGTAATTGTTTATTTTATGTTTATTTAATAATTAGATTTTAATTATTTTAATTAAATAATGTTTTATTGCTACATCTATTTTTATATATTATATGCAGGGTTCGGATTTTATAGCATCAAAAACCCTAAAATATATGCTATAATRTGACCAAAAAAAACCGTAAAATATGCCCTAAAAAATCAAAAATAGCAACAAATAAAAATAAATACAAATCAACATTTTATTCAATTTATCATACAGGGTGTCCCACAGAGATCTGACATTCCGACAAATGAAATAACTTGTTCTAATCAATATTTAAAAAAAATTTCTTTTAATCATAGACACTTGCGCTACATTTTTAGAATACATTTTTTATTTTTTAATACTGAAAATAAAAAACTTAAAAATTGATAAAAATTTTTTTCGAAATACTCAATATAGCCAATTTGTAAATCTGATTTTTAGAAAAATTTATATGGTAAAAACACTTATTTAAGTCAAATGGCTRATTTTTTACAATTTTTTTAAATATCAATATTTTCGTGAAGTAAATTATGATCTAGTTTATGTTAGAAACATTTTAATTTCAAATAATAATAAAGTTTTTTAAAAATATTTTATAAGAACATTTTTAAATAAGTGCATGTTAAAATCTAACTATTTTTTTTATAGTATTTATTTTAATAGGTACTTTCCTGTTATGTGAGACTACCTTATTTTTTGACAACATCACAATCCTGTTATCTAAGAYTACCAAAATGGTACTTTCCTGTTATACRAGACTATGGCTATTTTCGCAACTACCACCCAAGACTACCTCTGTTAATGCGACTATCACAATTAGCTGAATGATATCCGTAGGCTGCGTTTTAGCGTCACAAATACACTATATAAATATGAAATAATGAGATTTTTTATTGAAATTTATTAATTTAATAATTTGATTTATTAATTTGTATGTGTGTCCATCATTCTTCACTATTTTATTTGTGGATTTATTATTTTTTCATTTAATATTTAATATTATATAATATCATTTTACCATTTTTGATMGTGTTTGGTGACAACATTAAWATTATTTCTTTTTTTTTTTATTTATATTACATAATTTGTGTGTATGGCCATAATTTTTGTATTTATAATTTTTACATTTACGCCAAGTCTGACTAGTCTGGCTATAGCACCTCTGGTGTGCGCTGTGAAAAATATATAACAAATGATTTCGATATTTTCTTTTTCTTTATATATAATAAATACAATTCGAATGTGGCCATCTCCGCAATACCTACATACAAAAAAATTAATTAAGATCGCCCCCGCATGTAGGACATTCTCTTAATAAAAATAAAAATAAGGTAGTCTTAGATAACAGGATTGTGATGTTTCGTAAAAAAACAGCGGTAGTTGCGATAACGGAGGTAGTCTTGGGTGGTAGTTGCGATTATAGCCATAGTCTGGTATAACAGGAAAGTACCTTTTAATAATATGTGATGTATAAACTATAAATTACTATAATTTACCTAAAAAATAATATAACTGTGCCTCATAACTTAATGAAGTTTGCCACGCCACTGAGGTACACTATACGAATTTAGAAGCATCAAAATTTAATTCATGTYTAAATAATTTACCAAAAATATTTTACTTGACTGGGTGAACTATTCTGTTATTTGTATTAATATTTTCAAGATATAAATTAAATTCACTTATTTATTACCATAATTATATTTTTATTAAAAAAATCTTTTAAAATTTGGCATATTTTTTATCAGATTTTAACACCTTGATCTATACTTGGAAATAAACAATTAATTTGATTTGATAATTCTGAAACATTTTCTAAATACACTCTATCCAGTTTAAGATGGAACCTCATATAGGCCACCAATTTTTGTCAACTATTTATATACTTGTCATTTAACAAAACCATGTATTGTGCATAAGTCAGCCATCAAGGTTCCTTCTTAACATRAATAAAGTATAGGTACTGTAGTAATTTGTTATTTTAATTTAAATTAAAATTAGTAAATATCTCAATGGTTAACAATATCACACAATGTTGCTGTGTATTACATTTTTCAATTAAAATTTTCTTTTCAGAAATGTTTGTTATTAAAATGGAATGGAAGAAAACTGTCAATTAAAAATGCGTTTTCCTTATTGTTGGCTGCAGGAAGTGGTTGTACGTTTGAATTATGTAGAACCTATGGTTATTTGGTTAAATTAGGATTTCGAGTATTTAAACATGACGACAAGCTAAAAAATAATGCGTATGATTCTAAAGATGTATTAAAACATCCAGATCTATCAATTAAAAAAAAAAAAAAAAGGAATGCAAATTATAGGTCTATGCAGACTGAAGAATCTTCTAAAGTTTTCAATAAAATACTCTCTCCTAAACTCAAAACTCATTGTGAGATTATATATGCTCCACAATCGCAATATGTGCCACAAAATGTACAACCTTTTTATGATGTTTACTCATACAATCTTGCTGTGATTTCTGGGAGTGTTAAATTAATTGATTTAAAAAGTTTTGAAAAACAAACCAGCTTAGAAAATCTGAAAAAAGAAAGCTTAGTGCCCAAATTACAACCTATTAGAATATATCCTGTCTATGAGAAAAATATTCCTCCAACTATAAAGTCTGTTGAAAAAAATATTTATGAGCCTAGAGTTAAAAAATTGAAATTTACAGAAATTAAAAATATTCACTCACTTGATACGTTGAATATGACAGCTTCCACTTCAATTTATGATAAAAACATGAGCGTGTTAAGTGGTACTACTAATTTGACCAAAATTCAAGAGAATAAATGTGAAGATTCCAAAAATAACAAAATTATGGGAATTAATTCTTCATTCAGCTTGAGTACTGGAAATAACTTTTCTACATCTAATAACGAAATTAGTTTTACTAATAAATTTCTTGATGTTGAAAACAATGAAAAAAATCAAAATATTAATGATGAATTTGAAATACAAAATTCAAATTTTAGTAAAACAGAAAAAAATGAATCTGACAGCAAAGTACCAGAATCTACACTATCTGATACTATTCCTGAAGAAAAACTGCTAAATATGCATTTAAATCTACCAAGTAATACTATTTAATTATTAAATTAATAAAATTCTGATATATTTAGAAAGTGTTGAAATGTTAATAGAGCAAAATGCCTACATGTTTCTCTATTGAACCTACTATATAACAAATTGCAATTAAACAAAGTCCATTTTGTGTGCTTAAATTTAATATTACTGTAAATTGACTTAAAATTAAATTTAAAAATAAGAATGTTATCTGTTATCTCTTGTCAGTTTTTTTATGTTTATTTTTTAAGTGATTTATAAGTATGTCAATTATTATAAATTTAAAAATGGCCTTAACTTAAAATAAAAAAAAATACCAATGAGAGTTCACAGATGATATTCTTAGATTTACCTAACCTTTAAATTAGATTGCATGTAAATTTTTACTCTAATATTTAAATTAACAACATAAAATGAATTTTGCTAAATTGGAATTAGCTATATTGTATGTTTATAAAACAGATACAATGCATGCACAACATTTATAATAAGGTACCTTAACTACTGTTTAAGTATTATATAATATATATTGTTTTAAAAATATGTCTTGTGTTTCAATTTAGGTAACATTAGGCATAAACTATTGGCAATAAAACCATCAACTCTTCATAACAAGTCAACAAAATATACCAATAGTAAACACTCCATACATTATGATGTTTACTATCCAGATAATGATGTTCCAAAAACATTAAGACCTCCACCAGACTTTAGAGTCATTGTTTTCGAGTATGATAGTAAATTTTTTCTTAACAACATTTTATGCTTATAATATTATTTAAAACATGTTCATATTTATATTTTATTTTAGAGATGATTTGGAACGCTTTCCAAATATATACGACATCAATATTTCAAATCCTAATGACAATATTCCTACATTATGGGCCATTGTAAATTCTAGTTCTGTTTCATTTTTCAGTSTAGATAGTATAATTCTGCCAAAAACTACAGACTGGGATAAAAAAGGTGATTGATTTGAATTCCATTGTTTTCTGATTTGTTTTATTATGTTACTAACATATGTTTAATGTTTATCATATGAAATATTATTTCGTACCCATAAATTATGTAACTGTACCATTTTTTTTATATATAAATGAGTTGGTAATTTAAGTTCTAAGGCTGTGTTTTGATATTTAATATTACTTATTTCTTATTTTGTCATTGTACTTAAAACTAAGAAATATTTTTTATGTATAATATAATAATATATGGTACAAAATTATTTTTTATTTATTATTTTCTAGTTTAACATTCATTATGTTTTATATATAAAAAGGAGATCTATAGCAAATAGTTTTTAAGAAGTTCCATTTAAGCTATTAAATTTCTGAAATTTTACATCATTAATCCATATTTAATAATTTTATCGAGAAAAATGAGAATATGGTAGGTTAGGTTAATTTTCTCATACAGCCATATGATTATGAATGTAGATTTGGTTGTGTGTGGTAGGGTATGGCCTTTTAGATTCTGAACGAAGTGATGAATGTATTGATTTTACAATGATGTGTTTTTTTTTTTTT